CTGCGGCAGCTGCAACCACTGCGACGAGTACGCGGTTATTACAGCTGATAATGATGATGATGCACTTAATTGAAGTATACAATTAACCGGTGAAAACTTACCTATGGTTGAGGCTGAAACCGACCGAACCTTGGTCCGGCCTTCACATGGATTGTGCACATCCAGTGGGTGGTGAACGCCTTTGACGTCCTAAAGTGTGCATTTCAATAGCCCGCAGGGGAGTAACCGGCAGTGGAGATTTCTTAGGTTAACGCTGACATACGTGGTGATGGCAAGCTGTGATTCGCCTGATGGTGTGTCACCAACAGTGGCACTGCTACGAAGAAATATCCGAACACCGCATAACACAATTGGCTACAGAAAAGCAGTTTAGCCACCACAACGCGAAACTGGAGGAACAGTTCTTCATCAATCATGGAGCCACCACACACCCTCAGGGAGGGCCAGAGTGTTGGCTCGTGACTACAGCAGCGGACACCCTACGTGGGTCCTTCACAGGCGCGGCAAATCTATCCGCGAGACTCATACTGGTCCACCCAGGTGGATCCGGTACGCAAACCAAAGGCGGCCGACAGATACACATAACCTGCACCATGATGCAGCCACACCTGTAGCTGAAGAAACTTAGAGCTCATTGGAAATAGCTTTTTATATATCCACATGCATTCTGCCAATGAGCAATACAATGAGCTTCCCTTGTGCTTTTTCAAACTGCTTTTGTTGCTCTAACAATTCTGGAAGCTGATTAACTGCGGTAGACATCGATGGTTCCCGTTTGCCAATTGTAACGACGGTACTTTCCTAGGCTTGATTTTCATTCTGGACCTCCCAAGCTAGTGTTTCCTTCAGAACAACCACTAAGGGTGAACAACGCATATTAACGCCAAAAACAGATCAAAACACAGCGCCTGGTATATGGAATATGTGGGGCGAAAACATTTGAGAAATTCTGACGATTTCTAGATGCGTCATTGGCAACCGTCAGCCGGTGGACACTGGCACCTTCCTCTGAATGATGATGAATAGTGCGTCCATATGTCGTTTGGAGGGGATTCAGCGAACGCATTTGTTGTGCATGGTGAAAACGGACCAGAAAACATCATGAAGGTAGATGCCAAAAAGGATTTGGGCATCCGGGTCTCCTCAAACTTGTCCGTCTCAGCGCACCATGAGAAATCGGCCCGGATGGCATTCGCCATTTTATGTGCATGGTACGGACCAGAAAACATCATGAAGGTAGATGCCAAAAAGGATTTGGGCATCCGGGTCTCCTCAAACTTGTCCGTCTCAGCGAGCGCTGAGAAATCGGCCCGGATGGCATTCGCCATTTTACGGATGATCCGACGCACCTTCTCCCGTATTACTCGCATGGACTTCCAAATACTCTATGGGGCCTGCGTCAGACCGCTCCTGGAAAACGCCAACCAAGTTGTCTACTCAGGGCGCACGAAAGACGTCACCCTCATTGAGCGTGTCCAGCGGGCCGCTACGGGAATGATAGCCGGCCTCAAATCCGTGGACTACGAAACGCGTCTCGCGATGCTTGATCTCTTTCCCCTGGAGTAACGTCGCCTCCGTGGGAACCTAATTCTTACTTATGCCCAGTTTGAACAAAGCCTGGCCAACAGGTTTTTCACCGTTGACCCAGCAAAAACACGGTGCGGACATGGTAGGAAGATTTTCAAGCTCAGTGTGCACACATTCATTAGGCAAAATTTTTCTCGTTTCGGGTAGTAGCTGGGTTGAATAACCTTGCTCCGACGGTTGTCCACGCTCCTTCTAGAACCCAGTTCAAATCACTACTAGACATTTATTTATGCGAATCCTCGCGCCGGCAAGCATACTGTCCCGCGCTGAGAAAATGAAGAGTAGTGCCAGACCCCTTTTCCAGTTGTACCTTTCAGGTGAACGACAGTCGCTGAATGACAAGAACAAAACAGACCCGGTAAACTTGAGCGGAAGCCTCGATCCTGTGTATCAATCCTTGAATCCGTGAATCCTGGTGTAGTCAGAGGAGCACCTTTGATGGAATCAAGCCGCTTAAATCCATTTTGGCGTCTATATTTACACTATCCTTGGTTCAATCTTCCTGTACACAACATATGTGTTTGCTGAGTCCCCACTGAACGACACAGTCGCACTTTTCGTCATTCAGAGCGGGTACCAGTCTAGTGAGCATTGCACCCTCGAATCCATTTGAAGGTCGCTGGTGCTGAAACTCCGGGTTTTCAGGGCATCCGCAAAAATTATAATAGACTTGAAAGCATATCTGGAAGGTCTTTGAAATAAGGTGGCCTTCTGGACGACGCACTGGCACCAGACATTCAGCAGATTCTGTAGATGATTGGCTGACACCTAACCCACTCTTTTAACCAATCACTTGCGAAGTAGGCGTATGGGCGGCTGCGGCGCTCCATTGTAAGACGTAAGATGTTAATCAGGCTGTTCGGTTTTGGGATCACGTTGTACACCTCTCCCTTAAGCCTGATATCTCAAGTTACAAGTCCACTCTTAGTGAAAATCACTATAACCATAACCTTTTGGTTTTTCAGTTTCGTGACTTATGGGGAATTCATGAAAGGCTCCGTAGGATTTCAATAACAGACGTAATCGTACTTTGGTTCAGTTGCACTATAACAGCGTTTTTAAGTGCTTGATCCTGTTGCACTCCGTCTTTGCCTAAGGTGTCACACGTTTTTAAAATACAGTTCTCAGTGGCCTCCACAGTTTCTACATGCAGATGTTGTGAGTGCTGTTGACACAAATCAGTGATACTCAAAGCGGCACGCAACGACGGTGTATAACTATACGTTCGAAAATGGGGTATCTGTTGCACTGGCGCGGTTTGTAAGCAAAGGAAGGATGAATTTTTCGTGAGTTTGTGGTATTAGCATCAGCCGTTGGCGGAGTTCCTGTGGTGAAGCCCAGATCAAAGTTGTCCTGATGCACCATCGGATTCAGGTAGCCCGCTCTGGGTGCACGACGTGTGCATTTTGATCCGTGTGTTTGATCCACTTAGTTAGGCCGGACTGAATTATGCACAACAAGCTGCCGCGCCGGCAATGATATCTTCTCTTATCCACTTAGGTCGTTCGCGTCAGCCAAACTGAATTGCAGTGATAGTTGTTAGACTAAGCCACTTGCGATCCGCCTTGAGTACGACCAAAAATATGTTGCTCAGCGATTGGCTGATCTTTGGTCGAGGAAAAACTGCCATTGTTGGTCTTCTGAAGGAGTGACGCAGCTTTAATCCCTATGTTGAAGTGAAGACACTCAATCCCGGCCACAGTGCAACTCTGCTTGATCCCATCCAATCTGGCTCTCCTCGATGGATCAATCCTTGCAGAATAAAACCAGAGAATACGTTTGAAGCTATGGTCTCCAGGTTGATGACTTGATGGTTTCCGCACCATGATCTTGCATCCCATCTGAATATGAAAATCGGGGCACTCTGTTCTGTCGGTTTTCGCTCCTGATTTCAAATATTTTGGGGTACAGTCATCAGGCTAGCCACAACACCTTCGCCACCTGTGAAGGGTACAGCATGTTAACAGACTGGACCAGGTGGTTTGCTGCGCTGAAGCAATGGAATTGCTCACTGGACTTCCTTCGTTGATGGCGAACTGATTTTGACGTCGTGGTAGAGTTTATTTTGTCTTTCGAAGATTGATTTGATGGGGGCACCTGAATTTTTCTTCTGTGTTCAGCTCATCGTTCAAGATACTGTTTCTGTAGATTGAAGCCCCATCCTTTTCGGGGGTCCTTTCGATAACACCCAGGCTCCTCGGATCAGTTGGTCGGATTAGACGAAAGTGTGCGATTGTTCACCGTTGCAAAATCTTACTCCATTTCCTGAGCTTCTGCAAACTACCAACGCTCTCTCTGTCAATCTTGTGTTTTTCACTACTCTGTGTTTGAAGTTTTCGCGCTTGCTGTCATAGTTGTTTGGTAATGGTATATTTCATATGGCTACCTATCGTGACGAGACCCATCGTTCATCGAGGGCGGTTTCAAAAGATTTGAACATGACTTTTAACTTTTTTCAATAGCCATTCAGTTCACCGATAAGTCAGTTGTATCCATCAAGTTCAGGAAGCTTCACAACCAACTTTGGTTTCACACATATTTCGGCCGTGTCGGGTAATGCGCTAGCTCACGTACGAGGGTCTACTTTGTACGACAAAAGGCCAAATATAGTTTTAGGGGATGCCAAATTGTTGAAATCCGATAGGTTCATGTCGAGAGCAGTTAGCGAAGCTCCTGCTGTCGAATTCCAGTTCATGGAGGCGATCACAAATGCACAGGTGTTGCAACGGATGGAGGAGAGTAATTTTTGGTCGGCATTCGGACTATCTTGCATGGCACCACAATTAAACCCGTCACCTGATCGGGCGGGCGAATAGCCACGCACAGAGGCATACCGAGTCTAAAGACACTAGTCATCATCATCATCATCATCATCGACAGCATGGGATTAGTTTTAAACACCGATGCTTCACTGCCGTACATCCATGATTTATTTGAAAGCCTTATTGAGAAGAAAAGGATAAAGGTGGACGGGGAAGGGACTTAGCACTATATTACTGCAATCTTTCCGAAGTGCCTTCACCTCCAGATACTCATTCAGGCAATCTGGATAGAGACTGACAATAAGAGCGCCACCAACATCGATTAACAGCCGTATCTTGCAGTGTTTCCAACTAGGTGCAGTGAGGATCACGCGGTCCCCATCCTGGAAGGCGAGTAGCACCGATTGCACCCAAGCGTTTCGTAATCTTCCTCATAACCCTCTGCCAAGTCAAGCGTTGGCCACCTCTACTTACGCCACTCTGAGTTGGCCATGAAAAACAACACTCTGTTCGGTGAACGATAGTTAGGCCTACTTATTACTTTTCTCGAACAGCGCAGCTTCTGATGCTGGACACATTTTTCAATGGAAGTACCCATCGCACAACTGAAAACTCATTTTCTGATTGCCTTGTTACGGATTCGCCGACCATACGAACTTTGGTCCTGAGATAACGATTGTCAAACACCTGAAGACGTCTCAGTTCCGCTGCTCGAACAGGCCAGGTCTCACAGCCGTACAACAAAATAGCCTGCATTATAACCTGATATACGTGTCCCTTTAGATTCAAAAATACACCACTTTGACACCACAGGTGTCTCAAATTAGCAAACGCGGCTCGAGCCGTGCAGATTCATGCATTAGCCTAATCTGCCACACTACAGTCAGAACTAATGCGACTTCCAAGATACATAAAAGGCTCCACAACTTCTAGTACCTCTCCATGGGCTGTAAGTAAAGTGTTCAGTGACTGTATGTCCACGAGCATGACCTTACACTTTGTGGGTTCAAAGCGCATACCAGAAGACGGGATGACTTTGGTCAGTTCATTCAAAAAACACGTGACCTTTCCTCTTCGAAAATGAGAATGATGTCGTCTGCATATTCTATATACGTTTCGTCACAGACTATCTGAACACCTGAGTTTTCGAGATCTTCCAGCGTTCGTCTCATGATGAACGCAAATTCACTGACCGGATGGTCCGTTGTTCGAACCCGACCTCTGCCTCTCGACTTCTGTCTAGTTGGCTTTGCGGCCAAACAGAGATCGGCTCGATGTTGAACCGAAAAGCGGCCCAATCTTTAGATCAACCTTATGCGAGGTATGTTTCTTGGCCGTAGCGGCGCCTAACTGCGAATGGCTATGCGTCATCGCCGCGGAATTCCGCCTAACATTATCCCAACTTCTCCACTATTTCCCGGTATTCTGCAATCTGCGCTGTCTGTCTGCCATCAGCAGCCTTACTTGCTGCATACAGCAGGGCGGTATTCTGCAGCGCTGTCTGTCTGCCATCAGCAGCCTTACTTGCTGCATACAGCAGGGCGGGTAAGCCAAAACAGGCTACTGCTGACGCCCGCCTTCTTTCTCCTTCACATGCTTTTTCTTCCCCCCCTCCCCACCCCATTAATAACTCTCTCCTTGTAGGCCCAGCA